GGGCTCTCCGAGAGGGGCGGAGGAATCAAACTCGGGTCGGCCACGTTGGCTGCGTGCAAGGCAAACGCCCTACCGCTGTGCTATCGCTCCAGCCTCATCAATAAATCATTTTAAAAAATAAAAATAAATAAAAATAATTGTTATTATCTATTTTGGGTTTTGAGCCACACCTGGCAATGCTCAGGGTTTACTTCTGGCCCTGCACTCCTGGGAGTCCATACAGAGTCCTGGACACAGCCTGGGCAGCCGTGTAGAAGTGCATGCCTTACCTCTGCACTGTCCCCCTGGCCCCTGGTTAAGGGGCCACTAACCCTCACCCTCTGGGGCCAGAGCGACGCCAGTGGCCAAGGGTCTGCCTCTGTGCACTGCTGACCCAGGCCCGATCCCCAGCACAGTCACAAGAAGCCCTGAGCACCTGGTGTGGCCCAAGCCGCCCCGTCCCCAGCAAGAGGACGCCAGCATGGGGCTCCAGGCTGCACTGAAGGAGAGAATGCATCTGGTGACTTCCTGTCGTCACATGAGTGTCCAGACAAGGCTGGGGGCCTCTCTGAGAAGGACCACCCGGCACAGAACCTCAGGTCCGACCCAGGACATCGGACGGCCCAAGCGCGCACACTCCTGCCAGACTTCCTGGCAGCCAAGCCCTGTGGCCAAGGGCAAGATGGAGCCAAGGGCCAGCTGGACAGACGGCAGGGCGCATCCCAGCGCCCCTCCTCATGGACACAGAAGGGAGCTCGAGCAGCGGCCATCACATCACACTGACCCCCAGGAAGGAGGCCCCAGGAGAGGTGACCGAGATGAAGTGGCGCCGGAAGGGCATTCTCAGAGGCCACAGTGCTGGGCGGTCACTGGCATGTGCTAGAGACAGATGGAGGAGGTCCTTCCACACAGGGACAGACGGGGCTCCCCTCCACAGGGGGACAGGTGGGCACACGGGCTCCCATGCCCGTAGGGGAGCTCCTGCTGGCTCCTGGCAGAGCTGCCCGCAGTGGCGGGGGCAGGGGGTGTCCAGGCACAGCACGGTGGCCAGCTTGGTCCCAGGAGTCTTCCCAGAGGGCCTGCAAACTCTCCAACATCCTGACTTTACTGGGGGCCCCACACTTGGCTCTGTTCAGGGACTGGCTGACAGCCCTGGGGACCGTATGTGATGCTGGGGACGGAACCTGGGTTGGCCATGTGAAAGGCAAACGTCCTCCCCACTGTGTCCTTCCAGCACAAAAGGGTTTTTGAGTGGAAGAAGTTCCAGAAGCCTTGTAAATAAATTTCACAAGAAAACGAACTGCTTCAACATGGGGCTGCTGTGCTTGTGAAAGACATACTTTGTAGGCAGAGAACCTGCCTTGCGTGTGGAGGTCCTGGGTCTGATCCCGAGAGCCAGGGAAGGGAGTGAGGGCGGGCGACAAGCTTCACAGAAAAGCCCTCGAATTGTACGTTTTCTCGTTTCAAACTGGACAGAGGTCCAGCATGACAGACGCGGGCACAGTGCTTGCCCTGCTCGTAGCTGACCAGGGTTCGACTCCTGGTACTCCATGTGGCTCCTGAGCAGAGCCAGGAGTGAGCCCTGAGCACAGCAGGTCTATCTGTGTGGCCCCAAAAGAGTTTAAAAAAATAATACCCAAGACACTGGGCCACGAGGTGGCACAGAATCACATGATCTTAACACAAGCCAAGACGAGACCCAGAACACAAGGACAAGCAGCATCACTGGCCCGACGCAGGCTTCCATCCATTCAACAGGAAACATCAGAAAACAGAGGCACTCTGGCCCCCAAATTTTTTTATCTTGGGGCCACACCCAGCAGTGCTCAGGGGACCACACGTGGTGCTGGGGATTGAAACAAGGCTGGGCTGCGAGCTAGGCAAGTGTCTCACCTGCTCCCCAGGACCCCCACATCCTGAGTTTGAAGGCCAGCAACACAGCAGAGGAACCCAGGTGTGCGGGTCCCGGGGCTGAGATCTCCAACCCGCTCGGATCCGGACTGGGCCTCCTCCCCCCAGCTCCCCAGTTTTCCAGTAGCCTGGCAGTCACACCCACAACTGCCCCGGCACCATGTGCTCTCCTCAACGGCCAAGACCCAGAGACTGAAACAAAGCTCTCAGAAGAGAGTGATGTAGTATTTCCTGGTCCTCTTATACTCTAGCCCACTGATGTACCTAAAGTAGCACATACTTGCTTGGTTCTAACATACTTGCTTGCATTCTTTCATATTCGGGCTTAAATGGCCCCAGAATGAAACACAACCACCTTCACACACTTCCCTCTTATTGTGGTGGGAAGATGCTCGCTGGTGGGGTGAGTGTTTGAATACGATCTGTAATGAACTATTGTGAACTACTTTATGGAAAAAAAAAAAAGGCCAGCAGTATTACAACTGGGATGAAAACGCTTATGTCTGTAGCATACTAACCTCCAGCAGCTGCTGGGCAGTAGTCTGTAACACGCAAGACCCCAGGAAAGGGCCACTTGCCTTGCATGCAGCCGACCCAAGTTTGAGCCCTCCCCTGAGCCCGCCAGGAGTGATCCCTGAGCACAGAGCAAGGAGAAAGTCCTGTGCATTGCCAGTGTATCCAAAAACAAAAACAGAGGGGCTGGAGCAATAGCACAGCGGGGCGGGCGTTTGCCTTGCACGCAGCCGACCCGGATTCGATTCCCAGCATCCCATATGGTCTCCCAAGCACCGCCAGGAGTGATTCCTGAGTGCAGAGCCAGGAGGAACCCCTGAGCACCGGCTGTGACCCAAAAAGCAAAAACAAAAACAGAAAGAATCTAATTTTAAAAAGCTAGTAAAATCTCAGGCAGTTGAGGAGGGCAGCCGGACCTCAGAGACACGACTTAGGCCACAGCAAGGGTGCTGGGTCCGCTGACGTTCACCCCAGACACTCCCGCTGGGTTTAGTAAGAAGAGCGCAGTGGGCCACTTCAGCTGAAAACCTGTGCTTGCTTTCCACAAAGAAGAGTAGAGTTGGGAGGCCCAGCCGGACATGGCGAGCCCTCAGCAACCCCTCACTCCTGCGGTGGGGCCCTGGCCTGCCAGGAGACGCCAGGAGGGCCAGAGTAGCACCGGGCGTGGCCCCAAACACCAAACCCAAACTCCTCGGGCACATGCCCGCCTCTCAGGAGGAGAGGGGGCCTCCTCCTTATCAGGGTGGGGTTTGGGCAACCAGCGTCAGCACCTGGAGGATGCTGGGGACAAGGGCTCTCTGACGGGGGGGTTGGGGGGGGGAGTCCAGACAGGGAGTGCTGATTCCACGGAGGTCCCACTTCACCAGTGAACACACCATGGACCCGAGCGTCCAGAGTGGGGAGAGCGTGGGCAGTCAGTCCTGACTTCCAGACTGTCACCTGGCCACACAGATCCCAGTTCCTGTGACCAGTGTAGAGGGCTGAAAGGGCAGAGCCAGCTTGCGCGGAGAGAAGCCCCGGAAGATACGGAGCGAAAAGACTGCAGGGCGGGCGTGTGCCTGACACATGGCCCACTCGGGCCCCTCCCCGGCACCCCGTAGGGTCCCCTGAGCACCGTTGGGAGAGATCCCAGAGTGCAGAGGCAGGAGGAAGCCCTGAGCACTGCAGAGTGTGGCCCGAAAGCCAAACCCCCCAAAGGATGCTGGGGGGCTTCCTTCCGTCACAGGGTCTCCGCCTCCCGCTCACCCCGATCCAGCAGGCTCAGGCCTCACACACGGCAAAGGCTTCCACCAAACACAAGGGCCTGATCAGCTTGTCCCGGGTCGCCTCCAGCTGTGCTGGGGGACCCTACCCCTGCCTCTCTCCCCGTACAAGGGGCTTCGGTGCCACAACGCAAAGGTGGCACTGCCAGGGGTGGCCCCCTGCAGCTGAGTGGAGAGTGACCACTCAAAGGTCATCCAGAGGGCAGGGGCAGAAAACCTGAGCTGTCAGAAGCTCCATCCTTTAAGCTGTCCAGTGAAGGGTTGAAGGTCACCCGGGGGATAAGACGCAAGACAGAGGGTTTAATCGCTATCTGAGCGCTGGCCTTGGTGGCGTGCCCAGGGCTGCCCTCACCGGGACACCCCCACCCCGTCTCCTCCTGACGCGTCCCACCAGGAGCCCTGGGCCGCGACCCAGGTGACCCACGGGGAAAGCGGTGCCCTCACTGTGTCAAGGCAGTTTGGGGCTCCTCGCCACGTGAAGCGGCAACTTGAACTCCTCACGCTCTTTTCTTCTTTTGGTTTCAGGGCCAATCCAGGCTCTGCGCTCAGAGATCGTTCGGGCCAGGGCTGGCAGCATGCAAGGCAAGTCAGCTGGTGCACCCGGCCCAGTTCTGCTGCTTTTTGAGTTTGAGGCCACCAAGGGGTGCCCCCAAGGGGTCGACCCCGCGATGCTGGGGGTGTCCAGCCCTGCGGCTGTGAGCAGGAGGGCCCTGGGGTGCTGCTGGCCTCGGCCTGCGGGGAGCTGGGCCATGACTCAGCCGACACCTCCCGATCCTCCCTGACACCCTGGCTTGTGCCCTCGCACGTGGGCCCGGCCTGCCCACAGCGCTGCCCGAGGGCCTGGCGGGGCCGGACGCGGTACTGGCCAGCGAGGCCGGGGCACCCCGACACCAGGCTATTAGACCCCTTAAAAACGACGGCTCCCGACACTGCCCGGAAAAGACGTTTGTGCTGTTACGTCCACTGCAGCACGGGCCACGCCACCAGGTCTGGACACCGCGAGGCGCACGGGGGAGGGGCACGGGGAGAGGTGCCGGGTGGGGCGCTGGGCGGGCTGGGGGCTGCGGGGGCCGGGTCAGCAGGACAGGGGTAAGCGGGGCCGGGGTGGCGGGGTCAGCGGGCCGGAGGGGCCGGCCCGGGCCGGGGGCGGGGTCAGGGGGGTCAGCAGGGTCGGGGACGGCCCGGGCTGGGGGCGGGGTCAGGGGGTCAGCAGGGTCGGGGACGGCGGGGTCGGCGGGGCTGGAGGGCGGCGAGGCCCGGGTCAGCGGGGCCGGGGGCCGGGGGCGGCGGGGTCGGCGGGGCCGGGGTCAGCGGGGCCGGGGGCGGCGGGGCCGGCGCAGACCCGCCCCCGCCCCCCGCGGGCCGCGAGACCCGAAGCGGCAGGACCCGGCCGGGCCGCGGCCCAGCGCACGGAACCCGGGTCGGGCCGGCCGGTCGGGGCCGCGGCGGGGAGGCCCGGGCAGCCGCGCGCGAGCCCAGGCTCAGGCCCCGGCGGGCCCGCGTGGGCGCCGCCGCGGGCCCCGCGCCCACGTCCACGCGCGCGGCCCCCGCCCGCCCGGCCACTGCGGGCCCGAGGCCCGTCCCCGCCCGCGCCCGCCCGCCCGCGCCCCCGCCCGCCCGCGCGCGCCCGCCCCGCCTCACCTGCGCGCGCCCCGCCGGCTCCGCGGGCGGCTCTCGGTGCGGCTCTCGGTAGCGGCGGCAGCGACGGCGGCGGCGGCGGCGGCGGCGGCGGCGGCGGCGGGGCAGCACCGGGCGGCGGGGTCGCGCACGCACGACGCTCACGCGCGCGCGCCCGGAAGGACGTGGGCTGCGGCGTGCGGCCCCCGGCGCGTGCGGCCCCCGGCGCGTGCGCGCGGCCACGGGGCGGGGCCTCGCGGGCAGGGGAGCCCCGAGGGGCCCAGCCGGGCGGAGAGCCCGCCCACCGGGCGGGGCCTCGCGAGCGGCCGGAGCCGGGAGAGGCCCAGCCGGGCGGAGAGCCCGCCCATGGGGCGGGGCCTCGTGAGCAGCGGGAGCCGGGAGAGGCCCAGCCGGGCGGAGAGCCCGCCCATGGGGCGGGGCCTCCTGAGCAGCCGGAGCCCGGAGAGGCCCAGCCGGGCGGAGAGCCCGCCCATGGGGCGGGGCCTCCTGAGCAGCCGGAGCCCGGAGAGGCTCAGTCGGGCGGAGAGCCCGCCCACGGGGCGGAGCCTCGAGGGCTCGCCTGAGGGAGGCCCCACCTGGCTGGGCGGGGCGGACTGCAGGAGCCTCAGGGATTCCCAGGTGTACCTGCAGGTGCGGGTAGAAACAGCTGGCTCAAGGGATTTACTTAGCAGCTGGGCTGGTCCCGGGCCTTTAAGAGGCAAAACCTGCAATAGCTGACCCTTCCCAAGGGCGGGAGACCGACTCCCTGGGAGGCCTCCTCCACACCCATCCTTCCCCTGTCCAGCCACCTACCAGGAAACACTCGGAAATTCCTCCCTCTTCCCTATGGCCCTACGTTAACAAAAGCCTGGCTCTGGTCTCCATCAGAGAGGCCATGCAGAAAGGTTCGCTGTCAGCAGCTGTGATCTTCAAAGACACATATCTTGAAATTCAGATATGGCTCAAGTTCCATGCCAGGTATGGTCTCTATTTAATAAAAATGGAGCACCAAGAAGATAGAGCAAGGAGAACCAATAGGCAGCAAGATCAGGTTGGAAACTCATCAATCGACAGGAGGGAGGGAAGACTTCAGACTGAAGCCAAAGATCTGAGCGAGCACGTGACCTGGCAGGCTGGAGGTGGAGGGCTGACAGGCAGTTAAGGGGTTTGCCTTTCACCCCACCGACCTGGTCCAATTTTTCTGGCACCACATAGACCCCCAGACCGTCAGAGGTCACTCCTGAGGAATAAGCTACAAACAGCCCTGATGTGGCCCCAACACCCCCGCTGAGGAAAAGAAAAAAATCAAAACAAAACTGGAAACCAGAGACTAGTACAGTGGTTATTATACATACAACCAGAAAACAGTGGTTCAGGTGCTATTCAATCCCTGTATTCAATTCTGCAACCCTCGGGGAGACCCCACCCCCACCCCAGAGTCCCACCAGAATGTGGTCCAAAGAAGAAAAAAAACACAACAGGAAAAGAGAAAAGAAAAGTGAGTTTGACAGGGCCAGGCCTCTTGGAGCAACACATCCCTGGGCTCCTGCACTGATCAACCCCCGGCTGTGAACCACAGGAAAGCACTGAGCACAGGCACCAACTTGAAACAGGGGCTATCCATGATGGGGCTGTGTTTGAAGCTCCCAGAACAAGTAAGGCCTCAGTGAGTGACCCTTGACCTAGCAGCCCTAAGAAAATAGTCACTAATACAGAAAGGCATGTGCCCCGATACTCAGAATGAAGTCTGCCCACTGGAGCAAGAACACAGGAACAGAACATTTATTAAATGTTATCGAATGCCACATAATAGCATAGAAATTCTTAATAATCCTGAAAACAAAATAAGCAAGATGCATGATATATAAAAGGTATATTACAAATGTTCGTAAGGATGGTCATCTGCCAAATGGCGGGTGCTGGCAGACACTGGTCCTCCAACACAGACGTCGAGGAGGCTTTGCTCCTCTCCAGGGCCAGAGGTTCTGCCCAGCACACCACCAGCTGTCCTCCATTCTCAGAGCACAGCTCCACTGGCCAGGAAAGAAGGGACCTCAGCTTCCCCGGCAAGGGCAGAGAGCCAGAGCTGGGTGCACATCAGGTGCACCTCTGTACCCCCAAGTCTGAACTCTGCCCAGCCACCTCCCACCCAGGTCCGTGACTTCACATGCTCCCGGCAGTCACACTCCCCCGGTGGCCGCTGGGGCCAGCCTTTCCTGGAGGCCCGTACTGAGGAAAGGGGCAGAGAGGCAGCTGGACAGCAGCAGCGCCTCTATCGTCCAGCTGAACTGGAAAGGGCACCACCGGGCCCCACACCTGCCAACACACACTGCGGAGACCAGGCCCCGGCAGGGTCGTCTGAAGTGCCTGTGGACATTTCCAGCCAAGCAGGTGGGTGGGCAGAACCGTCCCAGCGGTCCCGGGATAGGACACCACGAGAGCAGCAGCCTCCAGCAGGACAGGGACTTCCACAGCTCCCGGGCAGAGGGACAGCAGAGAGCCAGCTGGCTGACACCCAGGCTACATCTGGGGCAGCTGACAAGCGGGGACCACGGCCATGTGGCCACACGAGGTGGTCCAGTCGAGGCAGCAGGTGACTCCTGTCCCCGCAACCCACCCAAGACCCGTAAGCCCCATGGCCAGTGGAGGAAGACACGGGAGTCAGTTCCATGCCTACGGACAGTGTGTCCACAGAAGCAAGCACCGTGCCAAAGGCCACACAGCACGCAGACCCCACTGGGCCGGGCGTCACGCAACTACGGAAACCATATGTCAGACAGCATAAGGTGATGTAAGGCTTGTGTTTCAGCTGGAGTCCAAGGAAACGATATTCTCTACAAGGTTAAAGCTGCTTGGCTTAGTTTTAATTTCTGAAAAGTCCACTGCGTTTAAAAAATAAAGAATCTGCCTTAGTCAAAGCTCAATCACAAGTGCAGTGCCAGGCAGCTGTGGAACCACCTGTCTTCTGGAGGGCCCAGACTGCCGATGCTGCAGTGGGCTGCCTGGGCGCCCTCCTGGGACTGGCCTCCCCGTCCTCTGCCCACACGCAGCAGCGGGAGCCAGAGCCCCAGAGGCCGGGCACTCACCACCCTGTCCACTTCCTGCGCCAGGAAGGCTGGCGCCACAACCAAGGAAAGTGTCCACAAGGAGCTCAGCCACGCCAGCCGGCAGCCAGGGCACAGGTGGCAGCACCAACAGTCCGACGCATCTGGGCAGCGGCTCCGCGGCGCTGACAGGGGCACGAACTGGGTCCACCGCCTGGCGGGCTGCAGCGGCTTAGAAAGGCTTGTCGCCACTCCCGTTTGGGGAGGGAAGGTTGTCACTGCCGTTCTCTCTGCCACCCACAACCTTGGACTAGAGGAAGGCACGCGTAAGGGGGGGCACACCGGGAAGGCAGGCCGCGGGCCGGGCAGAACTCAGGCAGCGGGGCCACAGAAGAGCCCACCCCGGGCAGGGCCCCGCACGCACTCGGGAGGCAGGCGGCAGAGGGGCAGCCCTGGTGGTCACCCATTTCCCGAGAGACAGGTCACACCCCCCCAAGAGAGTCTGGGCACAATTACCTTGATGGTGCCAACTCGGTCTTCAAAGGACTTGAAGGTGGCGGAAGTCCTGTGAGGAAAGGGGGGAGCAGTGGGGTGAGGGAGTGGCAGGTGGCCCTCAGGGAATGGCCTCGGGGTCAGGCTCATCCTCGAAGACCCTAAGACCTCGCTGCAAAAAAAATACAGAGAGCAGGAGCCAAAAGGGGGGCAAGGGAGTCCCCTGCAGAAAGTCCAGCCAAGGTCACTCAGAAGAACCAGGTCCCAGCACCAGCACCCCAAGAACTGAAGCCCTGAAGGCTACCGGCTGGAAACACCCAGCAGCAGGTGGGTCCCGGCCGAGCCCGTGGGGAGACAAACACCAGAACTGTTACGGGACGGATGTCATGGCCAGTGCAGGAGGGTCCTGGGGTGGAGGGAAGCCCCTCGGGGCCTCGGACATCGAGTGTGTAGGTGCACAGGTGCCCGAGAGCTTTCCCGTGCTTCAGCCGACGGCCTCGCCCGCCCCCAGCCACGAAGCCCCAGGGAACGTGGTCCCAGCTGCAGGGACGTTACCTCATGGCTGGCATACTGATGGAGTGACGGATGGAGTAGCTGCTGCTCGGAAGCACGACAGAAGCAGAAAAGGAGAGTCAGACAGAGGCCGGCGGGCCCCAGCCAGCTGAAGGGGCTGGCCACGGCCGAGGCGCAGACAACGCAGACAGGACCCAGCTCTGGGGGCCACCCTTAGTTCACGCCCCCCACCCAAGTGTCTCAGGACTCTTCTGGCAAAATGGTGAGATCAGGTGACTCAGGGGTCAGAATGATGCTGCCCTTGCCTGGACTGCTGGTGGAAGGGCAGAGAACCGCGAGGGGCACAGCGGGGCCCGCCACTTGCCCAGGAGGCCTCCCCAAGGCGGCCTGGCAGGGCTGAGGGCTGTGCTCTGCCGCCAGGGCAGGGGCAGGCGGGGCCCCGTGGGAGTGGCGGGCCTGCAGGGCCACCTCCCCAGCAGCCTCGCCGTGTCCGGCCTTACCTAAAGGAGTGTGAGAATGGACGAGCCCTGAGAGGCGGCGGCAGCAGGAAAGAAGAAACGCAGAGTTAGGCGAGTGAGTGGGCAAAGCACGCGGGAACAGGCGTGGGTGAGCAGCCCCCCCACCCAACACACAGACACCTCACACATACACCAGAGCTCACACACACCGCTCACCTGAGACACACACATACACGCCTATCACCTCACATGCAATCTCAACACTCACACACACCTCACCCATACATACACCACACTTACCACACTTCACACACACACACACAAACACACAACACACACCTCAGCCCACGCCCACGCCCACGCAAGCACGCCCCCGCGGGAGGCAGAGGGAAGGAGCCAGTAGTTGGGGCTCAGGTTCAAGCCTGCTGCACCGTCTGTGCCTCAGAGCTCCAGGCCCTGAGAGAGGGGCCAGCAGCGAAAGTGCCCAAGGGCCCCTGTGGGGCGAGGGGCACACAGAATAGCCCACATCCCTTGGAGGTGCTCAGCACCCCCGTGGAGTCGGAAGGGGACTTTGCTCAACCCAGCCCAGCCTCCCGGCCTACTCCCTGCCTCTGCCCTGGGCAGGCCCGAGGGTGATGCCACTGGGGGAAGCTGCCTCCGCCAGGGTCAGTCTGACCCTGACCCTGACCCGTTCTCAGAAGCGGCAACAGCACACGGGCTCTGGGGGGCACTGGTCTCCAGCAGAGGCGCCTCGGGGGCCGCACTACAGGGGACTCACACAGGCTGTGCCCACCGACGAGCTCACGACCGACCAAGGCCACACTGGGAGGCAGCCGGCGGCGCCCCAGACTTGATCACATCAACAGGGCGTCTGCCCCGACAGGGTGACCCTCACGAGGGGACCCACACTGAGCCCCACACGCTGCCACAATACTCCCCCCACCTTGCTGGGTCTGGAGGTGAGGCCAGGCCACCAGGGCTGTAGCCACTGCCCAGCCCAGAAACGGAGGGGAGCCACCCATGGGAGATGGGAGAACAAGAGCTCCCCCAGGCCAGGGCTGCTCCGGGCAACAGCCCAGGGGATTCCTCCCAAGCCACAGAGCTGTGTGGAGAGCCCCAGGCGGAGAAAGCACAGAGACAAGATCTGGAAGGTTCTGAACCAAGAGCCCAGGCGCTGGGACTAAAGGGGGAGCCGCCTTCTGCCTGCAGGCCAGGGGCCAGGTTAGGGAGCAGCTGGAGCAGACACCCCAGGGAGGGGCCAGAGCAGTCGCCCCACCAGGACCCGCGGACTGAGTGACTGACCCGCGGGCACACACCTGAAGCCCAGGAGAGCAGGTGTACAGACACAAAGACACACACAGACACACACACACAGCCCGCCCCAGCTCCAGGGCCCGGCCAAAGGTGCCAGGTGGGAGGAGCTACCTGCTGTCCTTGGCCCCAGGCCCCAGGGCTCCTGAGCACCTCTGGGGGTCCGGAGGGATCACTGGCCCCTGGAGAGTGCCCTGAGCTGAGGGCCCTGGAGGGGAAGACTCCTGCCAGTACAGGGGCCCCCGCCCCCCCCCACCCACAGTAGCTGGGTGACAGCAGCACCATCACCTAGTGAGGACCACCCCAGCATTCCTGGCCCGGCAGTACCCTCCCCTCCCAGAGACAGTAGAGGCAGAGAGGGATCGCGAGCAAGTTCGGCAGCAAAGGTGGACCCACAGTCCAGAGCTTGCTCCACGGGCCGAGATGGGCAGTGTCGCACCTCATGTCTCCAAGCTTCCTGCTGATGGCAGAGCCCACAGTGGACAGGGCAGCTGAGGTCTTCTGTCCCGCCTGGGAGAGTGTTTCCTGAGTCTTCTTGTAGCTGAGAAGGGAAAACAGCACTGACAACCCTGCCCAGAACAGTGGCAGGCCCAGGCCCAAGCACTGGGCAGTGGCCTCTGCCCTTCTCCTGCGAGGCAGGCATGTGCTCAGGTGACCACCTTGGCAGGGGTCTCCTGTGCCCCCAGAGGCAGAGCCGCCTTGGAGGAGCGGGATGTTTCTCTGGGCCCGTCAGGAGGCTCGAACCTCTTGTGCTGTCACCTGCAACCAAAGCACTCGAGAACTAAAGCACTAGAGGTCCAGGAGAAAGTGCAGCCAGCACCTGTGCACTCTGAAGGAGGGGCGGGGGGGCAGGGAGAGAAGGAGAGAGGGGGAGAGCGACGGAGAGGGGGAGAGGGAGAAAGGGAGGGAGAGAGAGAGGGAGGGAGGGGAAGGGGGAGGGGAGGGGGAGGGGCGGGCGAGAGCGTGAGGGTGCGCACACCAGACTCCCCAGAGGAAGCAGTCCGCCAGCAGCACTCAGGAAGGCATTGGGGAGCTCCGGGTGCGAGGGGCGTCAGAGGGGCACTCCTGCGCCCAGCAGCCGCACCTGCAGAAGGAGCCCCAGGAGAAACCGGCCGGCTCCATGCCAAGACAAGGAAGCCCCCAGAGAGTAGCCCCAGGCTCCCCTACAGCTGGGAGGCGGCTGGGGAAGGGCAGGGTGCTTCATAGGCCCTGGCGGTCTGGACCAGCTGGCGTTCCTGAGGACCTCGCGGTCTGCCTGGCGCCCCCCGTGCCACCGCCGCCACAAGATGGGCTGCAAGTCCCGAGCCCTAGCGTGGAGGCGCAGGACAGGTGTGGGCCCTGGCGTGGCCCAGCCCATCGGATCCCAGGAGCAGCCTCGGAGCCCCGAAGGGTGTGGCCCCACCCACACCTGGGACTGACAGGCCCGCCCAGCCCGGCCATGCTCAGCACACAGACCCTGCCGTGTCCCCTCCCCAGGGACTAAAGTGCCCTCTCAGACACTGCCCAGCACAGCTGAAAGGCAGGCGTCAGACACCTCGCTGCCGGCCTCAAAGAAAACACGAAGTCTTTCTCCACTGCAGCTGTCAGGAGAAACGCAGTCCTGCGCCCCCCTCCCCCACCCCCACTGCCACTGTCGGGCGGGGCAGCCTGTGTGCCAGGACCGCGTGCACTCAGGCGTGGGTCTCCTGAAAAGAGATCAAACAGACCCGCCCAGGCAAGGCGAGCTCTGATGGCCCAGCTGGCACCGCCAACCTCAGCTAGCTGGGGGCCTGGCACAGCCCCTCTTGGGAGGGCATGGCTGCACAGGGGCGCTCTCAGCACGGCTCGGCGGCTGGCTGAACTTCTGTCCAGGACAGCAACCACGGTTTGGAGCGGAGCTTCTTTCGTATTTGAGAGGAGAAACGCATTATTAAGGAAAGGACAGAGAAGAAGCCAGGAGATCATTTTCTGGCGCCCATGCAGGGCAGGCGAAGGCACTCACAGGTCCGACTGGGTCACTTTTTCGTTCCACTCTCCGAGTTTCTCAGAAGTTCTCACATAGCTAAAAACAAAAAGTGTGCAGAGAAATTACTTAGAACACTCTTACTCAGCTTCTAAGTCAAAGTGAAAGAGCCACAGAGATGGTGCAGAGGGAAAGTGCTCCCTCCCCGAGGCCCAGCCCAGGGTGAGCCCTGCCACCATGCAGGATCCCAAAGCACGCCAGGAGTGATCCCGGAGCACCACAGTTCAGGTCAGGTGTGGGACACACACACACACACACACACACACACACACACACACACCTCTCCAGGGGAATGGCAAGGCCAGCACGCACACAAGCACACGTACACACGCACATACACACACGACCGGGCCGGCGAAAGCAGGCCCACCTCTGCGCAGACCTGCCCAGCAGGCTGGGCCAGTGAGGGGCTCCTCGCAGTGCCTGTGACCCCAAACACATTTGAGATCATTCACTGAAATACGAAACTATACTTCCCTAGCACAAAAGAATTATTTTTTTTTTTTATAAACTTCTTTTTGGTTTCTGGGTCACACCCCAGAGTTCAGGGCTGACTCCTGGTTCTGTGTCCAAGAGTCACTCCCGGTGGTGCCACATGGGTTGTCAGGAACTGGACCCCAGCTGGCCAAGTGCACGGCAAATGCATGAACTGCTTCTCCGGTCCCTGGTTTTCCTTTACCTTTGCTTTGTTTTGGGACCACAGCAGACCACTCGGGACTTACTCCTGGCTCTGAGCTTAAGAATGATCCCTGGTGGGCTTGGGGCACCTCTGAGGTGCCAGGGATCGAACCCGGGCAGCCGTGCAAGGCGAGCACGCTGCCCCGTACTAGCGCTCTGGCCTCCGGGCCAGCGCCCGTGCTTTACCCTGGCTGCCCCTGGCTGCACTTGCAGATGCTCTGAGCCAGAGCAAGAGCAATGACGCGACCAAGGGCCCGTGTCTGCCACCGCCAGGCCCGCACTGGAGGACGCTCACACCCGGCACGTGCCTGGGGGAGATACCTACGCGCTCGAGACCTGCACATCATGCCAGCTCCTCGACAGGTTCTGCTTCAGGCCCTCCAGGGCGGAGAGGCCCAGCTTCCGCCTCAGCTCCCCGCAGTGCCTCTCCTTGGCGGCCAGCACCTGGCGCAGCGTCACGATCTCCTCCTCCACCTGTGGACAGCGGCCGGCAGTCAGCCAGCGAACGGCTCCCGCTCTCAGGAGACAGTGCGCTGGCCGCCTGCGGAGCCCAGAGCGCCTGCCGTGGCGGCCATCCAGCTGACTCCGGACACTCTCCGCCCTTGTGCGCCGAGTGGCTCCAGCAGGCACGGCGAGCCCTGTGCTCCCGGACTGCCCCAGGGACCACCCCCTTCCCTCGGGGCTCTGGGGCAGGGCCCTCTGAGCCCAGGACAGCGAGCGACGAGGCAGACACAACTGTCCGGGGCTTGGACCAGCCTGAGCCACGGGACAGCAGAGGGCCAGGCCTGCAGGAGCCCCGTCCAGGCCTCGGCAGCGGCTGGACGGACACTGAGCATGGAGCAGCCTCTGGCACGGCGAGCTGTGGAGAGTCTCCCGGCAGCTTTAGGGGCGCAGACTTCTCACCAATTCCTGTGTTACATCAGGAGCAACCAATTCTGTCTGGCTCAGCCCTGTCTGGAGGGCGCGGGTGGGCACCAAGGGCAGTACTCGGAGTCACACCCGTAGTGCTGGGGACTAACCCTGGGCCGGCACAGAAAGGGTACGCTGCAGCCCTACGAAGCACTTCCCAGCCTCGACAGACCCGTCCTGGAAGAGGGGAGGCCACAGCAGGCAGCAGTGCTAGCCTTGACCCGGGGTTGCCTCCTGCATACAAAGGGGCACTTGGTCTGGGATCTCCCCACTCCCCGAGGGCGAGCCTTCAAACAGCTGTTCTCAGAAAAGTATCACAGAAAAGTGCAGTTTGGAGCCGAAATACCACAGAAGAGACTCTGAAGAGTTAAAGGACCTATTAAGACACACGTGAGACCATCTTAACAGGAAACTATTCCCGGCCAGCCCAGCAGTCAGTCACTAGTCACTGGCCAGAAGGTTCCAACAGAGCCTAATGCCTACGTCCTACAGGAGACGGAGAATTCTAAGTGACACAAGAGTTCCCACATCATTCCACCTATGGGTCACGAGACACACACACACACGGAATCTTTGGACCTGAGGTAAAAAGCAAAGTCTAGGGCTGGAGTGATAGCACAGCGGGGAGGACGTTTGCCTTGCACGCAGCCAACATGGCCGACCCAGGTTCGATTCCCAGCATCCCATATGGTCCCCCGAGCACTGCCAGGAGCAATTCCTGAGTGCATGAGCCAGGAGGAACCCCTGAGCATCGCCGGGTGTGACCCAAAAAGGAAAAAAAAAAAGAAGCAAACTCTAGGGCACAAGATACAGGACAGGAGTGGTTAGATCCCTGGCACCACGTACAGATCCCCAAGCACTGCTGGACATGGCCCAAGAAACAGAAAATAAAATAACAAAACATAAGGCAAAGTCTAGCTTTCCTTGAACTTGAGGCTGCACCTCCCTCAACCCTTTTTTAACTCAGAAAAGGTCTACAAGCCTCACTTGGGGCCGAACTGGCAGGTGAGAGGGGGTTGAGGAGACAGACAGAAAGTGTGCACTAAGGCCTGCGGTGAGCCTTGGCTGTGGTGCAAGAAGGGAAGCTCTGGGGCTGGACTCGATCCCTGGTACCACAAATGGTTCCCTAAGCATTGCCAAGCAGTGATCCCTGAGCACAGAGCCATGAGTAAGCCCTGACACCCACTGGTTGGGGGCACAAAACAAAACAAAATCACACGGCCAGAACAACAGCATAGCAGATAGGGCGCAAGCCTTGTATGTGGCCAACCTGTGTTCGATCCCCAGAACTAAATACAGTCCCCAAGCCCGCCAGGAATCACCCCTGAGCACAAGCCAGGAGAAAACCCTGAGCACCAGAAAGCAAAACAAAAATCAGATTGAAGAGGGGGCAGCAGTGCTGTAGCACAGCAGGTAAGGTACTTGCCTGGCACATGGGCCATGCTCAGATGGGCCCCCTAACCACCAGGAGTGATCCCCAAACCAAACCCACAGCATAGGAAAGTCACTGCTTGCAGGACCAGCGCTCATCACACAGCACGGCCGGGCCAGGCACGCCCCCAAACAAACATTCCCTCGGAGGCCTTCACTCGGAAGCCCCGTGGACTCAGGGAACCCTCCCTCTTACTGCTCCCTTGCTTTGGGGCCACACTGAGCTGTCCTCAGGAACGATCAATGCCTCCTGCGTGCACAGCCTGTGCTCCAGCCCTGAGCCCTCTCCCAGATTCCAGGTCAAGATTCGCACAAGGTGAGTTGGGACGCAGCAGGCTGGTGGCATCGGGGAGTGCCAGGCTGAGCTCCCAGAAACTTTCGGCAGCAGCACCCAGGTTCCCCCAGGGACGACCTGGGCTCTGGCCCCGCAGGAACCTGCGAGACCCTCTGTCCACCCCCGGACACGTGACCCACACGCAGTACCTTTGCGAGCTCAGCCCTGAGCTCTTCCTCCTCGGCCTCCGTCAGGCCCTCAACTCCAGGGCTCTGGGCAGCCACGGCCGCATCGACGGGAACATCCGTCATGGAGTCGGAGAGCAGGCCTTTGTTGGGAGAATTCAAGCTGATGTCTGACAGAGACAAAACGAGGCCCAAGGTCAAGGAACAGGGGAGTAAACCGAGGCCTCTGATGCAGGGGAACAGGGCGGGGGGTGGCTCCTCTCTGCCAGGAGCCGTGACAGCGAGGCCTGAGGGACCGCAAGCCAAGTGAGTCTCAGGGGCTGCAGGCACTCACGCACCCGCCCAGGGGCCCAAGGGTGACACCTCCACCGGCAGGACACTTTTGCTGAAGGCATGGTTCAGAGCAAAGGAACGCAACACCCTGAAAGCACAAGCCCCACCACCCAGCCCACTGGCTCTCAGCTCCCAAGTGAAAGCACACCCAAGCCTCACCAGTCGTCTCACCCCCACCCAGGCCCGCACACCCGGCCACACCCAGTCCAGTTCCTTCTTCCCAGCCAAGCTGATGCCTCTGCCTGTGTGCATGGGGTCACCCATGGGGAAAACCCCAAAACAGCTGACTTCAGTCCCTTCCAGGCACATCCTGTGAAGGATCATTCTGAGAGATCGTTTTGAGTCTGTTCTTCCCCCTCCGATTCCACTCATATGATTCTCTCCAGATCATCCTAGCACCTTCCTTCTCCTCATCCTATTCTGTAAAGAAGCTTTGTCTGTGGTCAGCATGTCTCCACATGAACGAGGGGGTGAGTTGTGGCTCAGTGGGGAAGCACAGAATGCGTGCGGAAGACCCCGGGTTCTAGTCTCACACCAGGCAACAAACAAGCCCACAGAAGTGAATTATAAGAGACGAAGGGGGAGATAGCAGGGGAAGACACGTGCCTTGTACATGGCTGACCCTGGATCAATCCCTGGTACAGTGTAGGGTTCCCTGAGCCCCGCCAGGAGTGATCCTGAGCACAAAGCCATAGCAAGCTCAGAGTACAAACGCCCCCAAACCAAAGACTTTCTAAAATATTTTAACTTAGGGTAAAAGGCATCAAGGTTGGAAAGAAGCAAGGCTCTTTCACTGAAGATAAGCCCGTAGAACTTGTGTCTGCTAAAAATAGACTGAATACACTTGACACCAAAGCAGCCCCACCTACTGGGTCCTCCCGGCAGGGGTCTGGCAGGCTACACAGGCTTACTAAAAGGTACATGTACCCACTTGTTGTTTCGGTTTGGTTTTGGGGTCTCACCTGCACAGTTCAGAGCTTACTCCTGGCAGGACTCGGAGATGGCCTCCGATTGGGGTGGGCAGCATGCAAGGCCCTGCGACTGTGACATCCCTCCAGATCCCTATTTCTGTAGGTCTAATTACACAGATAATTTGAACGACTGGAGCCTTCAGCATTAGTATCAACTACACCAAATGTGCTCAGATTGAGTTATGTCTTTTTGTTTGATTCTGCTCTGGGCCAGTTAGCAGTGTCCAGGGCTTACTCCTGGCTCTGCACTGAGACATCACTCCTGGCAATGCTTGGAAGACCGTATGGGGTGCTGGGTATTGAATCTGGGTCTGTCACAGCAGGCAAATGCCCTCTTTGCTGTCCTATTGCCCTGGCCCAGACCCAAACAGTACTCAGGAGCGACCACTTGACGACTGGATGAAAAAACTGTAGTACATAATACACAGCACTACTCGTCTGTAAGAAAAGACGAAGTCACGTTATTTTGGAGCTACTAGGATGATCCGGAGAGAATCATATTGCGTGAAATCAGAGGGGGAAGAACAGACTCAAAATGATCTCTCATATGTGGAATGTAAAAATAAACTTCCTAGGGGAATATCAAACTCCCCAAGCCGATAGGAACCAAGAATGCATGCCTGCCACTGGGGCGGCTGTGCATGTTGGAAGGGTGTGTGTTTATGTGCGTGGGTGTGTAAGCTAGGAAGGACACACCAGAACAATCTAACAGGGGAGAGGTGCCTGCCACAGAGGCCGACTAGGGGGTGGAAGGTAGCACTGGCGCAGACTGATGTTGGAACATTGTAGCCTAGAACTTAACCACAAATATCTTTGTAACTTTGTGACTCACTGTGCTTCAACTAAAAAATAAAAAGTGACCCTGGCAATGCTGGGGGACTGTATGCAGTGCCATGAATTCAAACCGGGCTCTGGGGAAAGTCAGGCTGGTCCTTAACCTCAGAACTCTCTCTCTAGGCCCAGCACTCCTCCAGAATGTTGCATGTTTCAAGCGTGAATGGAAAACCCAGGTGTATCTGCTACACTGACTAGGGCATGAAGGAGAGAGCCCAAAGGGTCGGGCACACGATGGTGCTCAGGCCCGTGTGCCCAAGCGCACATGATGGTCTGGGCTCCATCCCGGGCACTAGACGTCCCTGGAAGGCTTCTGAGCAAGAGCCAGGAAGCAAGCAATTGTCATAGCTAAAAGTCTGTCCTTCACCACGTCTTCGTCCCCTCTGTCCAGCTTACGCCCTCACTACTCCCTGGGGGTGGGGTCTGGGGGTCACACACAGTGGTGCTCAGAGCGCTGATCCGGGTCTCCCTCGCCGCCCCCGGGCGACCTCCCCGCCCCTTCTAAGGCATCAAAAGCGAACACGAGCCCCAGGACGGCGAAAGCAGAACCCGGGACCGACCCGCCAGCCGGGCCTGCCCGAACGGGCGCCCGGACAGCCTGCCGCGCCCTGGGCGGGCCGCGGCGCGCGCAGCCCCAGCGCACGGGGCTGGTGAGGCCGGCGGGAGGTCGGGGGGCTGTCGGGGTGCCCCCGGCCGGGCCGACCTCTCGGGCTGTCCGGGCGCCCCCCGGCCGGATCGGAACGACCCCGCGCGCCCCGCGGCCGGGCCGGGCCGAACCCGCGGGCTGTCGGGCGCTCCCCGACCGGGCCGACCTGACCTCGCGGGCAGTCCGGGCGCCCCCGGCAGGGCCCGGCCGAGCTTAGGCGCGCGCCCCCGGCGGCGCGTACCTTGGCCAGCGGAGTCCATGTTCGAGCGGCGGCGGGCCGGTGCCGGTACCGGGCGCGGGCGCGGGCGCGGGGCAGCGAGCGGGCGCAGCGGAAGGCGCGGGCCGCGTACACAGGCGCCGCCACCGGAAGACTACCGCCACCGCGGCGCTACGTCATCAGCGCCGCGCCGACCCACTTCCGCTTCGGCGCGTGCCCCGCCCCCTCGAGCGGGGTCCAATGACGGAGTAGCCCCGCCCAGCACCGGCCCTGCGCTCCCGCCTGATAGGCCGAGTCTGCGGACGTAGCCGGAAGGGGAGGCGGGCTCCTCCGCCAGCCCCGCCCCGGCGTCCGGCCGGCTCCGCCCCGGACTCGCGCGGGTGCCCGGCTGCGGCCCGGCCGCGCCGAGGGCGGGCGGGCTGGAGTGCGGCCGGGCTCCGGCCCACTCCGGCCCCCGCAGGCCCCCTGGACTGTGGGAGTCGCCTCCGCCGTGTCAGTTTTTATTGTCCGGGCTGGCCTGCGGGGCCGGGCTCCGCGCGTCCCGGCCGCCCCGCAGGTGAGGATGCTGAGGGCGCTCCTGGCACCCGAGGGGCTGGCGGCCGCGCTGGAGTTTGCCTGACGTGTCCAGGGCTGTGTCCACTGGCCGAAGCGGTGCTCAGGCCCAAGGCTGCCCTCTCCCAGGCCAGCCGCCCCCTGCACCTCGTTCACGGGGCCGCAGCGCCTTCCTCGCGCCCCCTCCCCGGCCAGGGCCGGCAGGGCGCGGGGCGCTCCGCCTGCCCCGCTCGCCCCCCGGGCAGCGCCCCTCGCTGCAGCGGGAAGGGCGCCCAGGGTGGCAGGGCTCTGCGGCAGGGCCGTGCCCAGGACGAGGTCACCCGCCGAGCGTTGGTTCCCGGCCACGCGGGCAGACCCCACGCCCACCTTTCCCAGGGCCAGCCTACCGCCCTCCTCCGAGGCGATCGAGCCCACCGCCCGGATCAGGCTTATGCTGGGGTCCCTGAAGCTGGGGATGGGGACGAGAGCGATGAGGAGGGCAGGAGGCACCGGAGGGAGGTCAGCGGGTTCTGCCCCCTGCCCCAGACACCAGGTCGGGGTCCCCAGGCAGGCCGGCTTTACTGTTTCAGGCTGCGGGAGGGGTCACAGTAGCCTGGGCAGAGGGCCGCCGCGCGGGCTACAGCCTCCAGGGCAGCTCGAAGTCCTCGGGCTCCAGCGGGCTGCAGTGCGTCGCCTCCAGGTTCTTGAGGTGCTTGCGGGCCAGGAAGAGCGCGAGCTGGCGGCGCCGACGGGGACTCAGGCCCCGGCCCACCAGCCACGGGAAGGGCAGCCCGTGCGGGCCCCAGTCCTCCTCCTCCTCCTCCCGCTCCTTCGCGCAGCGCTCGCGGTAGGTGCGCAGCAGGGCCAGGCACCACTCGTCGTCCAGGCGGTGGCGCGCGTAGAAGGCGGCCTCCTGGGCCAGGCTGCCCAGCTGCAGCCAGCGCGTGACCATGGCCAGGCCCTCGCGCACCATCACGGCGGGGTAGCGGTACTGCAGCAGGCGCAGCAGCAGCTCGTTGCCGCGGTTGCCGCCCACGTCGCCGGCCGGCAGGGCGTGCGTCTGGTCCGAGGCGCTGACCACGTCGTCCAGCGTGCGCCGGAGCAGCAGCACGGGGCCCGGGTACAGGCACAGCTGCTCGGCCACGTTGAGGTTGAAGTGCTCGCGCACGGTGCGCACCACCAGCCCCTTCCAGCTCTGCGGCATGACCTTCAGCGCCAGGGGCACCAGGTCGTCGAAGGTGGCGTCCAGCACCAGCGCGCCCAGCTCGGGGTACGTCATGGCGGCCCAGGTGGCCGTGAAGCCGCCGATGGACCAGCCGTAGACGACCACGTGCGCGGGCGGGAAGCGCAGGCGGTGCAGCGCGTACTTGACCACCACGTCCATGGCGTTGGCGTCGTGCTGCGGGAAGGGCTCGCCGGTGCTGGCGCCGAAGCCCGGGTGGTTCCAGCCCAGCACGGAGTAGCCGGCCTCCAGCGGCGCCGACAGGCAGCCCATCTCGTAGAAGCCCGCGTTGCCCTCGCAGCAGATGACCAGGCGCAGGCCGCGGCCGTGGGCGCCGGGCTCCCCGCGCCGGTCCATGAACATGGTGTCGATCTCGTTGCCGTCACAGGCCACCAGCTTGGCGCGCCGGCCGCCGTAGCGCTCCACCAGGCGCTCCTGGCCCTGCTGCAGCAGCGGCAGCAGCGCGCGCGTCATCAGGAACATGGAGCCCGGGTACACGAGCCAGCGGCCCAGCGAGTGGGCCAGCGCGTAGCTGGCCAGCTGGCCCGGCAGGTCGCGCAGCTGCTGCAGCAGGCACAGCGCCTGGCTGCGCGCGCCCCGCGGCGCCCGGCCCGCGGCCCCCAGCGCCGCGCCGCGCAGCAGCCACACGCCCGCCGCGGCCGCCGCGCACGTCAGCGCCCCGCGCCCGCCGCCGCCGCCCACGGCGCACACGTCGTCCCAGCGGAAGTCCACGGGCCAGCCGCGGAAGGCGTCGGTGTAGTTGGCCGTCAGGTAGAGCTTGAACACGTGCACCAGCGCCTTCACGAAGCACACGACGCACATGGCCGCGGCCGCTCGCGCGCCGCGAGGCCTGGGCGCCGCCGCCGCCGCCGCGCGCGCCGCCGCCGGCCCTTTGTGCGCTGGCCGCGGGCAGGGGCGCGCGCCGCCCGGGCTTTGTGAGTCACGGCCCGGGCGACGGGTGACGGCCGGCGGCGGCGCGCCCGGGTGGGCACAAGCCCCGACCCCCGGAGGGCACGCGCCGCGCCCACCCCGCCAGAGTGGACGCGCGCCCAGGCCTAGCCGGCCCGCACCGCCCGCGGTGGACACGCGCCCTTCCACGAAGGGGACAGCCTGGGCCCGGCGGGGCGCCCCGCGACCCCCTTTTCCTTTTAGGCTGGGTGCGGTGGGAGCGGCACCAGCGGTGCTCGGGAACCGAGGGCAGGGGAACCACGTGGGCAGGAGGGCCCCGCTGTGGACTCGAAGCTCAGATAAGTCCGTCCCGGGTGGACGCGCCGGTGGGCGGCCCTGACCCTGCCCAGGAGCCCGGCTGCCCCGCCCCATCCTGCCCAAGGCCGCCGGAGGCCAGCTGGGTCACCGCCGTGGGCGGGGCCGGGGAATGGGGACTCTGTGCCCACCCTCCAACGTCCAGGGGCTGGGATGGGGAGGCAGCCCCGCCCCCACGTCGGCCTGAAGCCGCCTGAGCCGGCCAGACTTTACAACCGGCCCTCCCAGCTGAGGCTGGAGATCAGCGATTTATTCCTCGAGTTCGGCAGCCGGCCGTGGGGAGCCGCGTGGGGGTGCGCCAGCCTCCGCAGGAAGTGGGGCACGGGGAAGAAGGGAGGGGGCTCCCAGCCTGGGGACAGGAGGGGACGCTTCCTGTCGGATGAGGGGTCAGAGAAAGGGCGGAGACAGCCAGGACAGCTGCGGAACATCTGGGAGCTGACCGGCGGGCTTCCTCAGGATGGGGCGGCCCCACACCCTCCTTCCTGCCTCCCGGGGGGCCGGGACTGCCGCCCGCAGGGTCTGGGGGCCCGAGCTGTTCAGGCCTCGGGGTGGAGCTGGCTGTGTCCTGGGCTCGGTGGCGTGGGGAGCGAGGGGTCCAATTGAGCGCGGCTCTCGGTGTGGGGGGAGCCCCCAGACTCCAGGCCTCTCCCTCCCCCGGCCGGCAGCCCTGCCAGGAGGGTCGGAGGCCGGCGGCCGGGGCCTCAGCCCGCTTGCGTGGGTGTTGGTGAGTGGAAAGGGGGCCGCAGGAGATCTCCCCCACGTTTCCCTGCACCCTCTCCCAGGGGACAGAGAACCGGGTCGGGGGGTCGAGGAGAGTCCATTTTCCTGCTGGGATCCTCTCAGCCCCACCTGGAGTTTCAGGGGCTGCCCCAAGCACCCCAGCTCAGAGCTGCAGCCAGGGGGAGGGGTGCGGGCGCCAGGGGCAGGGAGGGCCTGCTCAGCGGATCTGGGTTACACCCTCCGTTCCTCCAAGTCTCCTGTGCAGATTAAATACGGCAACTGTCCCGGAGCTGACCCCAGGGGACCCTGAAGTTTCCTTCCCCCTCACAGGCACTCTCTGTTCCCAGCGCCCGCCCAGCCTCCTCCGCCAAGCCCCAGCCCCAGTGAGGTGGGCACACCCTGCCGCGCCCGGGGAGCGGGACGGGGCCCACCCTAGGTCCTGGGGTTCCTCCAACTGGGACCTGTGATGGCATAGGGCCAGGACAGCAGGACAGGCACACAGCCCTCCAGGGCAGGAGGCTGGGGGAGGGGCAGGCAAGTGACTGCTGGGCTTTTCCTGGGGCCCACCCAGTAATGCAGCGGGTGGGGAGGGTGAAGCATCACCCACAAGCTCCTTCCTGTCCCCCAGGGGTCAGGTGGCAGAGCAGAGCTGTCCCCTGCTTTGAGGCTGCTCGAGGGCCGAGGCCCCTGGGCTGGGCTGGGCTGGTGTGTGGGAGTGACCAGGCCTGGGAGAGCCTTGAAGTGCGGGGTGGGGTGGCGGGAAGTCGGAGGGAGCCCACCCAGGCCCTGGGATCACCCCACCCGGCTGGGCCCCACTCCCTGCCCAGCAGCGGCCAGGTGACCCCAGCGCCAGGGCCTTGGAGGGGAGGGCAGGACTTCGGTGGCCAACACCCCCAGCTCCCAAGGCTCTCTCTCTGGAGAGAGAGAGTTGGGTCGGACCAGGGCTCTGGTCGGATTAAAAATAGCAGGCCTCTGTGGCGTGGAAAGCCCCTGGGGTGGGGAGGAAGAGCAGGGCAGGGGCCGAGTGAAACCAGCAGGAAGTGTCCCCCCACCCCGCCCCCACGGCTACTTCAGCAGGCATGGTCCCCGGAAAGTCCCAGGCCACGAGCTCTTTGGGCCTGGAGGGACAAGAGACCCTGGGGCCCATCAGGCCGCCCGGCCTAGGTTGGCCCCCAGGAGGGTGTCTGCAGCTAGCAGGCCGCCATCCCATCCTGTCTGAGGGTCTAGGCTAGAGGCCACAGAAACCAGCAGCTTGGAGGGGAAGAGACAGACCAGGGAGCTGGACGGGTGGCCAGGGCCAGGCCCTGGCCCTGCCAACCTGGGCCCAATCCTGCAGCCGGTGCTGAGCAGCACCAGCTCTGGCCCAAGCTGTGAGAACACAGGGTGGGAGGGCATGGTGCGTACCCTGCATGCAGCCCACCAGGCTCCGTTCCTGACACCCATGTGGCCCCCCAAGCCCTGCCAGCAGTAACCCTTAGTGCAGGGCCAGGAGTAATCTCTGAGCACCGTCAGGTGTGAACAAAAAGACTTGACAACAAAAAGAAGTAGGCCAGCGTGGCCAGGACTTGGGGCAGTGCCGGGCAGGGGTGCTGTACAGTGGGAGGGCAGGAACACGGCGGGGGGCGGGGCAGGGCGGGAGAAAACTCCACCTCTCAGAAGCCCCTGCAGGATTCTGAGAAAGTTCCTGGACGGCGGACTGGGCCCGCAGCTAAACCCAGAGCAGGCTGTGGGGGGCCCGGAGGTCAGGGCAGGAGAGGTGGCAGCCACAAGGTGACAGGCCATGGCCAGCCTCACCACGGTGCTCCCTGTCATGACCCGTCACCACCAGACCCATCCACACAAGCTCAGCCTGTCATTGGTGCCAGGCGTCTGCCGAGAACCAAGCAAGAAGATGCCTTGGCCCCATGGGGGGCAGAGGGTCGGTCGGGTCAGCTGCGGGGGGGCAGAGGGTGATAGGTGGGGGGGCAGCAGGTCACACAGGTGAGAGTAGTGAGGGTGAGGGTCCCAGGTGAGGGTGCAGGCCCCAGGTCACATGGGTGGGAGTCCTGGTTCCAGGTGAGAGTAGTGGGTCACACAAGTGTGTGGTGGTCCCAGGTGAGTGGCAGGTGACACAGGTGAGAGTGGAATTCCTGTCCTAAGGACTCACAGGTGGGGGGGCAGGCCCCTGCTCTGAGAGTTCACAGGGTTTGGAAATGAAACGTGCTCCCACCACGCGCTTCTGAGGGGCCTTTGGCTGGAGGCGCCTGGCGCCTGGGCAGCAGGAGCTCTCGGTGGCTACGCGGAGAGAGGGCCTGGCAGGGGTGTGCAGAGGCTGCCGTCACCCTGGAGAGGGGCAGGTGGGAGGGAGGGCCAGGGCCAAGGAAAGGTCTTCGCGCAGTGACAGGCACCCTCGAATCTGTCCTGCGGGCAGCTCCGTGACTGGACACACCAAGCTGCGTTCAAAAAGTCACGGAGGCTGCACAGACAAGCTGGCAGCGCCACCCTCAGACGCAGGGACAGATGTAGGATAACATTGCCACAGGGAGCTTAGGTTTATTAGTTACATCCATCACAGTGCTCCCGAGTCACTCCCATTCCTCTGTATTTATCTGTAAACTCTTCTCTGTGCTCACCTCCCTAATCAGCTAATCACCTTTTTGCCCTGATCAGATTCTTTTAGCTTGTAAGATCAGATCCTTTTAGGACATTGAACTTGTAAGTCAAATATTGCTTTTCTCCGTCTTTTACATAGTTTACCTTAAAGCAGGGCTGGAGCAATAGCGCAGCGGTAGGACATTTGCCTTGCGCGCAACCAACCCAGCCGAGCCGAGTTTGATTCCTCTGCCCCTCTTAGAGAGAGCCCGGCAAGCTACCGGGGGTATTTCGCCCGCACGGCAAAGCCTGGCAAGCTACCCATGACGTATTCGATATGCCAAACACAGTAACAACAAGTCTCAAAATGGAGACGGTACTGGGCCCGCTCGAGCAAATCGATGAACAAGGAGAGGACAGACCTTAAAGCAATGTCCTTTCTGTATGGACACAGGAAGACAGTTAATATTATGCTTTGTAACTAGGGAGTTGATTGACTCCGAATAATATTTACTCCTGGGCATCTGCTCTCTTGACTCAGTTGCCCTTAGTTCCTAGCACCCCAAAAGTGGGGTCCCAACGAGGGACTGGATGGACCCAGGGCAAGCTATGAGCTACCCTGGCATCGAAATGGGCCAGGCCAAAGCACCACGATACTCAACTATATGATCATGGACAAATGCTGTCAAGATCCAAAAGTAAGTAACAACGAGACTAGGACCCTGCTGGGACTAGGAAGACTACCCTGGCCCAAGACTAGGACCCTGCTGGGGCTAGGAAGACTACCCTGGCCCAGGACTAGGACCCTGCTGGGGCTAGGAAGACTACCCTGGCCTGAGGACTGCGGAATATATAGTGAGATGTCTTCAGGAAAAACCAAACTATAAGTTTATATCTCTTACTGTGCTCATACAGAATGACATTGCTAGAAATATTGGAAGTAGATTTACTACAACTATTTAAGTGGATTACTAGCTGAGGAAAGAACACACCCTCGTTGGGACCCCACCCTTGAGCGGATCTCCTATAATCTGGAGTAATCTCTTTAGAGGAGATTTTATCCTTGAGTTAATCTCCTGGAGGAGTGGCCTTACCTCTCTTTGTTGATTTGTTAATGTTCAATCCACCTTTGTGTCACCGCCTTACGTGGTTGTTAATATAAACTAAGACTGTAAGATCTGAGGGGGCTCAGGAGAGGAGAGAGAGACAGACAGACAGACAGACAGACAGGCAGAAGGGGAGTGGAGGTTGGAAAAAACTACAGCCTG